GGATCGTTTAGATTATTGCCTTTTCTGATCGTATTGATGAGTTTAAGAAGTTGAATACAGCAGTCTTAGCAGCTTCTTGTGACAGCCAATTCGTGTAAGTAACATAAGTAGCCTATAATTTACAATATTCGATACTAAAATTAACATGAATGAAATCAAATTATTATTAAAGTCATTTGGCATGGGTCAATACTCCAAGAAACAAAGGTAAGAAACAGAATTTAAACGGATCGTTTGAATAAATCAAGAATTATTAATAATATTAAATTTATTTAAATTAGGTGGTCTTGGCCACATGAATATTCCTCTTGTGGCTGACAAAAATCAGTCTATCACTAAATCGTATGGAATTCTGGTCGAAGAAGAAGGAGTTCCCCTTCGAGGATTGTTTATTATAGACGGTAAAGGCATTATCCGCCAAATAACTATCAATGGTAAGTTATTTTTGAACTATTATGGCATGTACATGTACATAACTTGATTGATTATAATATATTATTTATTTTTCAAAGATCTTATGGTGGGACGCAATGTTGATGAAACACTTAGACTTGTTGAAGCTTTTCAATTCACTGATAAACATGGCGAAGTCTGTCCGATCGGTTGGAAAAAGGGTGATAAGGTAAATACAAATACACCTTTATGATGCCTTATTCAGTGACTTTTCATATACGAACAATTTGTAATATATTTTATGATCACGTGAATTATATTATAGGCCATCGATGTAAAAAAAGGGCAAGATTACTTTGCAGAAACTTACAAAGAATGAACCTGATTTTTATATTTCGTAAATATATGATACCTAATTAAATAACATGTAGTAATAGTTAATCAAAATTGCATAAATAGGGGTCGGATGTATTGATGATTTCTATATTAATTGAAATAATAAAAGTGGTATCAAAGCGTTGTTCTTAATTGAAGCAAGAATTAATGTAAAGTGCAGAATTTGCTTATTTGTATTCTTATCCCTTACACTGTTTCATTATAATAATGTACCAAACGGTAGCTTAAATGAACTGTCTAATATAGTTTGCTGTAAGATGATGTAATGATATCATAATGATATTATTATTGGTAATTTTTACATTATCGTGCTTTCATATTAGTGATCACTTATAAATAAAAATTCCTTTTATCTGATATTGCACCTAGTAATACACAGGAGCTGATTATTGATATAACTGAATCATAATGGGATCTTTGACATGTTTTCGAATCAAAATAAATAAAAATTGAATGCCAAATTTCTTTTTTTTATTACATAAAACAAAACTATAAAATAAAAGCACCTTGGAAATTACATCAAATAGTATTAGGAATTCTGGATTTTTCCCTTCTCTCTTTATTTTTATTAATCATTTTTTTGAAATTGTGAGAATTCAAATTACAATGTGATCGCAAAAATCTGTAATTAATTTATTATTTACGAATTGCTATTTAAAATAACAATTTCAAAAACTCTGATAGATACTAATTTTTTACGATAGTATAACATTCATTAGTATTTTATATTATTCAGTCAGTGGTTAACTAGATAAAAATAAAAGTTTTTAGTTTATTCACTTGAATTTTACAAACTTAAGAAAGTATCTCAACAATGTCTCGTCCATTTTGATATTTTCAAATTATACAGGCTAGTAAAATTCAAAATCTTCGTCAAAGTTTGAAAAAAATATATACACTATACAGTCTGCCCTTCATACAGTCACTCTCCATATAGTGACACCTCTTTATAAGCACACTAATTTTTAAATCAAACGTATATAAAACAAGAAATTTGACCTCTATACAGGCGCGATTTCTTATAATCTTGGAACTGAGGGTGCGACTGTAGATACAGGCTTGTATGATACTAAATTTCCTATTATACGTACGTACGTACGTACAAGTGCATGACACCATATTTAACAGTTAATTATATTAAAAGTTTATCAAAATTTTTGGGTGAACCAGTCATATGTGCATATAAAAAAAATTAAGATTAATAATTATACACGTATTACATTATCAGGCCCTCCCACTTATACGAGAGTTTACAGTTTCTATAAAGAAATTTTATTCAATTTTTCAATAAAGATGGTGATTAATGTTGGTGAGTGAAATCGGAAAGTGAATGTATTTCTATCTCACAGTATAGATTAGCCTGGGTTGTTAGTGGTAACTTACCATAAAATTACTATTTTTGGTAACTACTTACCAGCCAGTAACTTACAACCTTGAGATAGCCCACCTTATAATCAATTGATTAATAATACATCTTTCAAAGGGTCACCTATATTGCAAGAGATTTCTCATACGAATTAGTTAGTTTTGTGTTATTCGTTCTAGTTTATTTAGAATGAATTATTATAATATAAAATGCTCACATCTGATCATGTAAAGTTTCGAATTTTAATCGGTTTGTCAATAAGAATAGCCAATCAAAATTAAGGATTAGTAATTAGTTAATAGTCCTTTGAATATTTGCTCTACTAAAAACGTTAAAGAAAATATAAAGATTTACATATCTTAAATTTTTAATTCTTTTAATAATTGTAATTTGTTTGTTCACCATATGGTTTTTCCCAACCGTCAATACCACATAGTGGTAAGTTAAATCCGAAACGACAAGGAATATATGGCGCTTCTAATCTTCACACCGAACTTCCCGAAGGATGCTCAAGGTGAAAAGATCGAATTTATTAAACGGTTCGTTGACTGGAACTATACACCACGAGTTTATAAGTTGTGTGCTTCCTTTTGTCAAAGGGCAAATTTTTAACCTCACCCGAAGGGAAGAATAAAACTTGCACCAAACCGTAATTTTTTTTTTTTTTTTTTTTTTCAGAATCATTTTTATATCATCAATATCATCAATATCCAATTAAAATCGCAGGATCATTATCTAGTGTAACACAATCTAAATGTTAACGTTCTGAATTTTCGAGAGGGTACAAATTGGAGTTAAAATTTTTTATTATATCGAAATTTTACTATCGTCGTGAGAGCTCGCTATAGAGCGATAAAAGTAGTAAATTCATGAAAATTATTTTTATACGCATGAGTTGTTATAGTGTATTATTATTCTTGTAGGCAACAAAAAAAACAGTGATCGAGTTCGTTTATCAGAAATTACAAAAAAGACTAATTAATCGGACTAAAGGTGGATGGTGTTTACATTATTTTGTAGCATGTTCAAACCTAGTGCTAAAGAAAGTTGTATTTAAACATGTTTATAAACTTAAATAGCTACGTAACATGACATCTTATATCAAAAGTATACTAAATAACCGCCTCCAAAATATTTGCAAATAACTATTCCGGTTTCTCTACAAATAATTTTGGATCTAAATCGAATGAGTACGGTAAGTAATTCAGTGTTGAATTTGACTGGTCCGACACAAAACTTAATACGTAGGTCAAATTAAAATTGTTCAATTTGGTATATATAAATATATATGTATACTTTCAACTCTGAATACCTTCTTATGGCGAACCTATTGAACCCATTCTTGAACAAACTTTTTTTTATTAAAGTTATAGAAACATAGCAGATAGTAAATTACTCTACGTATAGGGATCCTTCAAAAATTTTTACTATAAGGTATAAAGAGTGAGGGAGGACAATTTGGCCGCTAAATCGGAAACACTACGTAGTCAATTATTTCTGTATTTAAAATCATAATTTAACCAAGTAATATCGTCAAATGAATTAAAATTTATATTCTACGTATAAATTTATTATTATTTTGAATTAACTAAATATATAGGGTATTTAATATTTATACAATTACAATATAACGACAACCTTTATAATAACAATTTAATTATTTGGTATATATTTGAAGTTGAACTATTTTATTTGAAACGCATGTAGTTTCATTCTTTACTACTAAAATGTTTTCCAACTGTGTTAACGTTAAAGTTAACATTAAAAATTTAATACGTATGTTCCCATTTGATTAAGTTTTTTTTTGATTTTCATAACGGTTTATCGTTATACGTAGATACGTAGTTATTTACGTTTAGACCAATAATAATAATTTAAATATAAGTAAATTATTTCTTAAAATAAATTTTATAAATATAAATAAATTCGAAAAATTTTCGATAAACATCTCGGTTAGTATAGTGGTTAGTATCCCCGCCTGTCATGCACAGCCCGCGGGAGACCGGGGTTCAATTCCCCGACCGAGAGCAATCTTTTTTTTTTCTAAACCAGCTTTTAATATAGTTAAATAAGTGTTTTTTTTCAAATTAAATTAATCGTATACTTGCAATACAAGTTCAAAATGTGATAATGAGAGCTGAAAAAAGGTAATTCATATATACTAAATTTTAACATAGTGCTAATTAGAGTTGCCTGCCGTAATTGTTTTTAACAAGTTGTAATATTACAACCTATATGTCGTAATATTGCAACCTATATGTCGTAAAGGTTGTAATTAATTACGGCAGGCAACTCTAGTGCTAATAGAACGTAAACAACTTTACGGAATTTATAAAGTTTATTTTTTTTTTATGATTCGTTCGATCCTAATGTATCGGTATCTTTGATCAGCATTTATATATAAATCATAACCCACATTGTCGTCCAATTGTACGATTGCAATATTACATTTCTTAAATATGAGCATAGTATTTTATTTTGGATTTAGAGCCAACATAGGTTGGTTTCGAATAAACATAGGTTATAATAAAATTCTAAATCGTATTCGTATTGTTAATAAAGAATTCAAATTAACACAATAAAATTAAGTGGATTTTAAATTATTTTACGAATATATTGCTCTGGAATGTTTATAACGAGCACATTACAAATTAATTAAATTAAAATCATTACATAAATTTTTACACTTATGATACTAACAACTACCACAAAGCAATTTTATTTTTATATTTACAATTATTTTTAGTGCACGTACTTTGCAATTGCATTTAATATTATCTACTTTGTGGAGGTTGCATAATAGATTGGGGTGTCACGAATCAGTTTAATCACATATGGAAAGATACATAGTAAAATCATTATTGAAGATTTTTTTTGATCGATTTTCGAAATTTTCGAATTATAATAAATTATTAATAAAAATGCATTCGTGCAGACTTTAATAACTTCAGTTATATTAATTTTTTTAAGTAATAACCGTATATTATAAATATTCAACTGTTTTTATATTACGTCAACTATATTTATTAAATTACACATTTTCTTACTGTTTTGTAGTAAATATGAATGCTGCCAAGGGAAAACCTGTCATCAGGCCTTCAATCATGTCCCTAAGTGCCGCCTAGGAAAAATCTGTCATCGGGCATTCAATTATATTTTGTGACAACTCTTTGCAAATATAATTGAAAACCCGATGAACAGATAGTACTCATGAAACAAACTGGACACAGAATATAATTGAAAGCCTGATGACAGGTTTTTTCTTAGGAGTAGTCATATATCATTTAAGTCAATTAGATATTTGATTATTTGCTCAATAGATTAGCAACAATAGCTTTAAATTTTATTTTAAGTTATGGGTTTAAAAAAAGCTTTGCTTTTGGCATATGTTTTTTTTTCACTTAGACAAAGTCATACTAGTGATTCTGTTTATTCAAGTCATAATTTTATAGAAGATTTAAAACAATAAAACTATGGTTTTAATATCTTATGGCTATTTCATAACTAATCAGAATGCCTATAGATGACTTGCTGCACTGATAAAATATAATTAATTAAGATAATACCCTGATCACTATATCAAGATCACGGGAGTATTAATTAATAATACCCTGACC